CCCTGTTGACCTGCAGCTCAGAGTGCAGGGGCACGGCTGCAGGGTTCGGGAATCGGGACGACATTTTGTGGTAGAGAATGTCGTAATGCGCGGGCCGGTACAGAAGGTAGATGATGGGCCCAAGGTTGGCAGGGTCCTGGCCTGTGGCCTCTTCGGGCAGTCGGTAGACATTGGCCTGTGAGCCGGGTGTGCGATCGAGGTAGGTGATCTCGAGAACAAAGCCGATGGGTTTGAGTAGGATGTTCGCGAGGAGGGTGATGCCAATGTGGTCAATTTCGCGGTCAGGGACCTCGATGTTTTCGTTGCACCACTGTAAGAGGCCGCCGCTGCCGACAAGAAACGGCTCGAAATCGTTCGAATTGCCCTTTAACCAAGACCCGGCTAGTAAACGAAGATGGTAAACAATAGCGTTAGAGCATTGTGCGTCGTTGAATCGTGTCATCAGGAGTGCCATGGCGGTAGCCGAATCTGTCACAACATCCGCAAGATCCTTGATTAAAGAGAGCGTCTCATGGACCATGTCCTCGAAGAGCTCAAAGTCGTACCCACCGACATTGGCAATGTAGTTGTTGAGGCTGGTGAGGCGGGCAAGTTCTTGACTCATTTTATCGGGGTCGCCAGCAAACACGAGGTGCTCAAAATAGCTGAAGCCGATTGCTGAATTAACAATAGTGTCAGCCCTGGTTCACGATCACCCAGTTGCTGCGACCAAGCACGTCGCCCAAGGCAATGCGGGGTATGTGTAGCATGTTGAGCATGTTGAGGGGGAAGAATTCGCAGCCTTCTGCTTGCTCGGATGCATCCCAAGCCAACTCACCTCGCCATCCGCAGTTGCCATCGCCTTGGACTGGCCGATAATGAGAGTATGTCTGTGGCAGGTTCTACAGACAAGGCGCAGAGGGCCCGATCATTAGCGCCTGATGCTGCGAGTCGACGGGCTGGCAGATCATAAACCGTGTGGGCATCGCATGTACTTACGATCGTCTTCTCAACATAGACAGGATCAGCTTTGGCATACTCGGCGGTGATGGCATTGCTGGTGAGCCTATCCCCGATCAAAGGACCCTGAGACCAAGGTTAGCACATGCGATGATGGGCACTTCAAGTAGTGATTTTGTGGCGCCGTATTTGAAACACAAAAACGTGAAGGGTCTAGGAGGGGATATGCAACGGGGCCCGCATCGGATCTGATCATCAGGATCGGGCCGTGCGGCTAGGGTTCAGAATGGACTGGGGCGAGGGGCAAGGCGAAATTTGGGTTGTGTTGCGGGAGGAGGGCGCGGAGACGGAGAGGTCCCGACGCGGGCGGAGGGACCGACGAGGCATTATGAGCGCGACTTCGCAGGGTCTACCGGACATACCTGGAGGTCAGGCTGGTAGCTCTCAGCAGCCCTCTGTTGAGCTGCCAAGTCGTCGTGAAAGGCAGCATCGGCCGAGGAGTCGCCAGCCATATCGGCCGAAAGAGCACGGACAGAGGCGGAGTTTGGTGCGGAGGCAGAGGTGGTGGATGAGGCGGGCGTCGCAACGGCGTGGGCGTTAGAATTTGGATTGTACGAGGACAAGGTCGAGGGCGGGTTGTTGGAGTTGCTGCACGACGAGGCGGCGGAGGCGGCCGGGCTGGGGATATTATAGCCGGGATTGGCAGCAAGTTTGTGCTGGTGGTCGGTCTGCGAATGGGTCTGCACCTGGGCCTGCGTTTGTGTTCGGTTGCGCTGATAGCTGCTGGTGTATGGTGCAAGCGAAGGGTGTTGCTGATTGTGATTGTGTTGCTGTTGGAGGAGATGGAGCTGGAGCTGCTGGTGCGTTTGGTGGGCGTGCGAGTGCGGATGCGGGTGCTGATGACTGAGACCAAGGCTGTGGCCAGGGTGCTGCTGGTGCAGGCGCTGGGGCAAGCGCTGAAGCGGATGCACTTGCTGTTGCTGCGGCCGATGTGGCAGGTGCAATGGGCCGTGGGGTTCCTGCGACTGACCTGACGTGGCGGCAGCGGCGGCGGCAGCGGCAGACGCAGACGCAGACACAGACACAGAGGCAGGAGCCAGAGTAGGGGCAAGAGCAAGAGCGGTAGCGGCAGGAGCAGTGGTGGGAGCAGAGGCAGGAGAGTGAGCAGGAGCGCCGGCGCCATGCGACGCCGACGAAGAGAACAGGACGGGAAGTAGTGATGTGTGCTGCTGGTGTTGGTCGTACCTGCTGCCCGCCATGTCGGCTGAATGGCTGGCACTCCCCCGTCTGTTGTCCCGTCCTGTTCGTGCTGATACTGGACTCCTGACTTGCCCTTCGAGGCCGAACCCACCACCAACACCAAACTCCCCTGAGCCCCCCCTATGAACACGGTCGCGCCCTCGTGTTGGACACGCCGCCGGCCTGGAGTTCGGCCCATCGAAACCTTCTTCTGATCCTATTCTGTGTTGTTGTTGCTGTTGTCGCAGGCCACGGCCAGGTCCGCGGCTTGGTCCGCTTTGAGACCCAGACCCAGATCCCGACCCTGGCATGGCATGCGGCGGTCCTCCTCCGTTCTGCTCCAGAGCCCCAACAGGAGACGGAGCATAGGCGTACTCGGCACTTAGAACAATGTCGAGCGGCACTCCATCGTCGTATGTTGCTGTCGACTCTGTCGGGGTGTAGAACGACGAGCCAAATGGTGTCGGCTGAGGTTGGAACATGGCCTCAGCGTTCGCAGGGGTGATACTTTGAAAGTAAGTGTTCTCCTTTCCCACTGGATGTCCAAGATATCGGGCAAGCGAGGGGACGGAAAACCCTCTGGTAGACTGCACCCGACAATTTGTCCGCGCAGACACCTGAGTTTTCTCGGCTGTCACGGGCAAGAACGCCCGCGGGTCAACCCAAGATCGAATCTTTCGCGCTTCAAACGTGATCGACAACCTGACCGTAGTATCAGACAAAAGCAAAGCCCGAAAGCCTTTTGCTCTTCCGTACACACACCCCTTTTCGAAGCTGCTGCGTGCTCTTGCCGCAGAAGGCTCGGCCTCAGCGTCGAACAAAGACTCGGCAGCGGCGAGTATGGTCGATCTTCACCTGCCCTGTCAAATGCGATCGTCACTCTGTGCCAAGCAACAAGTCAGATATGGTCCTTAAGACCGAAAGTGAACTCAAGCTCCGTTGGTACAATGCCGTTAGGGATATGATCAGAGGAACGACTTTCCACAAGCAATCGAGGCGAACGGGCGAATATGTTGATAGGGAAGCTAGATGTGAGCATCGAAAAGAGGGGGAAATACATTCGACTTGAGGGGCGGGGGAGGTCACTGTTGAAGGAGAAGCGACGCCTGGGGGGTTTGATGTCGGACAAGCCTCGATGAGACGACGACAACATATGAGCCTTCTCACCTCTCACTTGCTGCGCGTGCTGCATTGCGTGCCGTACCTTTCACGACCCCAGTCGCAGTCCAGTCCTGACGTGGGTGCGGGAGACGGGGGATCCTCCCCAAGTTTTCGCTATGGACTATGGTTTGTGGACCGTGGCCTTCTCCAAACTACGGTTCCTGCTGCTACTGACGTTGCTCCCGTCCCTCCAGCTGCAGTGATCCCGGTCCGTTATCTCCCCTATTGCCTAGCCCTGGCACATTACTCTCCGCTTGTCAGGGAAGGCCCCCCCAGCTCAGAGCTTTCATCACGGCTCCGCCGAAACCAAAAGTATGTCTGTAGCTGGCATTTGGGGACGCTGAACAGCGGCCCGCTCCGACCACTGGCCTGCAGCCCAATGCGACAAGCTCGACAACGGTGTCCTCTCGGTTGGAGAAGCCGTGCTGCCGTCGTGTCCACTCTCCATGTCGCTTTGTCAGTTTGACATACCGCGCGATCCAACGTCTCAAGCTGCGATATCCCGGATTTCAGCTGTTTTAATCCTTTATCCTCGGCCGAGAAATCTACGTCTGCCCACTGATCCGACCTACGAAAGGGCACGGCAGGCAACGGGGCATGGACAATAAACCAGGGTTGGTGCCTTGGCTAGACTCTCGGCGCCTGGCCATCCCTTTGCCGCACCCCTGCCCTTCGTCAATCCTCTGAACATCCTCCTAGACTGACAGTGGGGCAAGCTGGGTTGGCACTGGCGGCCATCTATTGATCTGCACTTTCTGACCTCTGTCGTCTGGCACGTCACATGGACCTGTCATGTTCCCCCGCAGATGAACACGAACCTCGACTATTGGCATTCAACCTGGACTGCCTCATCATCAAATTGGGTTATCCAGACTGTACCACCATCTATTTAAGTAGGAAACTGGGCGACGGCCTTCGACGGCCACCGCTTGCTATCATCACCTCCGTTTGAGATCCCTGGCTTCAGGAGCAAATAGGAGGCGGTAGCACTTCGGGAGCACACCGACGCTCAGGAGCACACGGGCGCCCACATCCGACCAGCCACGATGCCTGCTGGCCTGACTTTTGAAATCAACCGCCGTCGCTATTGAAAACATCAGGCAACATTGTGCTCGTAGCCCTCGTGCAAACCTGTGCTTTTCTTGCTTTGGTTGCCGCCAGCTGTTCCCCTCTCTGGCAAACGCAACCCCGCCAGGAGAGGCCTGGCCGCTGCTACGCTACCGTCCAATTTTCCATGGGTTAGGGGATCCCAGATTAATTCCCGCCGCTGGCTAGCACAAGAGGGTGTGGGGGGAAGCATGTGTACTGGCTAGTAAGCCAGCATTGTCCTGGTGAATCAACGGCTTCCTACCGGTTGGTGGCCAATCTCGATTTTGACAATTGGTGGTGCCGCCTTGCTCTAAGCCAACATCCGGAGGGTAGTGGCCAAGGCCTACGTGGGAAAGATCCCCTCCGCCCAGGGCAAGGGACAACACTGATCGTCACCACTCCGAAGAACAACACCTTACACCTAGCGTTGCATTACGAGTGCAAGTTTCGGCAGTGGGCTACATGTTATGCATAAGTCAGTGTGTGGCACACACACAGTGACAAGACTTGACCACATCTTGCAGCTGAAGCGGACAAGGTTGCAAACTGTCACGTACGGGTGAGGGGTCGTGGCTCAGAGAAGCGCTCTTCTCTAGAGAGACACCACACCCGGAAACACTCCCCATTCGTGCTCCTAGCAGTACTGTGGTAGTGGTGACTTGACACTGTTGCAGAGGCACGACCAACATGCTTATAGTTAGAAGCAGGCTGTTCATCACCGCGGTGCCTTACTGTATGGGCACGAGAATAATCATGACAGTTGGGCAGAACCGAATGGCTCCGCCAGTTGAAGACGTCGACGTTGTGAATGGTACAAAAGACCGACGTCTAGACGGGTACACTACACTCCACCGGTACTGCACGAATAAATGACCCTTATATTGCTGCGGGGGATCAGTCATGTCACGACGGCCAAGTGAACGTGGACAATCCACTGTACTCACGCTCAGCCGCCACTCCAGTTCGCAAAGAGTACTGTTTTCACGCCACATAGCTCTGATCACTGAGACTATGGCATAACGGTCACCCACCTCGCTGGGCTGGTTGCATACGATCTTCGCTGCATTTATCTGTACCACAGCTCCCAGTAAGTACCACTTCCTTCCAGAATGACAGCCACCGGAGATGTCCCCCTACGGCACAGCATATTCAGCTTGTCTTTTATTGGCCTCGAAAGCAGCCACAAATATGGCGTACTGTAAGGCTTGCGCCGGCCAAGTGAGAAGCTAGGATGGCATGGCCACATATGCGTACAAACGCAGATCGTTCGCCAGTTCTTCTACTGTCAGACGCTACCATGCTCAATGGAGCTGAATGGAGCAATCCTGTGGGCTACGGACAGGAAGAACTTTCCGGGAAAACGACATGCATGTGAATGGAGGCGCCTGCCGAGAGGATGCGGCCAAGTGTCCTTCGCTCCTTTGCGGATGGCTTCCTCCCCTCTTACCAGGGATGCGATAGCACCAATGCAGGACATGGGAGCGTTCAAGATGGTCCGCTGAAGCCGCCGTGCCGACCTGGTTAGCGGACGTGTTCCTTTGTGCTATTTCAGAAGGGCATGTCACAACTCATATCGTTTTCATCATCGGACATTCTCATGTTATGCACGCTACTACTTGCCGTTCACATTCCGTAGGGCAGCAGAACACCCTAGCATGGACTCACAACCCACCCCATCGTAGTCACTGTCCTCGGTCCACGCCCGGACACCATGTCTTCCCCGAATTCAGGCGTCATGATCATGGATACACAGAACTCATTTTGATATGATGTCAAATATGACAATGCCGACGTATATCTACCAGCATCGATCATTGTAGCACATGATTCAGGATCCTGGCGAGAAGAATTTCCATCACCAGTCATGCATCGGCTTTAAGACTCGTTTCGCAACGGCGATGTGAATGCCTTATCCGCAGCAATACTTGTACAATACAGTTGTCGATCGAGTCGAGGCCACGAGCTGGCCCTTGCGGCCCTGGTGGGAAGCGCCTCAGGGGGGGGGGGGACATGGCAGGAGAACAAGGGACGCCATGCCGGCCTTGGCCCGCATCTGGACCGGACACAACTTGACCACTTGTTCTTGGTCTGGGATCTAGGATCTGGGATCTGGGATCTGGGCTCAAGGTCCACGCGCCGAAAACTTCGCTGTCTCTCCGGTGTTTCTGTCTTCTTTCTACTCACGAAGACGAAAAGCGTCGCGTCGACCCAGACTGTGGCCCGGTCAGCAGTGTCCGCTCCGCAGGCCACAGCACCCACCAGCAAGCAAAGGTCGGAAGTATGAAGACCTGCCTCGCACAGTCTCTACTTGCATCTTTTCAAGCCCCAGACGACAGTCCCTCCCGAGCCGCCGTCTTGGCATCCATCAGCTTTCACGCACCTGAGCCAGTACACAAACATAACGAGCTGTTACGTCAAAAGATACTGTTCCACGATCCGTCCAATTGACTGAACGCACCCTGGCCAGTGTCAGCTCACTCACCACAAGAGTCGAGGCTCTTATTCCATAGACACTGTCCATCCCCCCGTCACAAAAGTGGTAAACCGTCGGCAACCGGCACCTTGTCGAGGTGCATGATTGAATATTGAGTTTCACTCCTTCCTTGGGCGATCAGCCAGTGCTGTCGCGATGACGATCCCACTCGGCTCAGCCGTTTCAGTTCTCTCCTACAACTACCTACCCGAAGAGGTTCAGTTCAGGCCGAGGCCGGTGGGCTGGACGCGGAGCATTGCACATCCTGGGCTTCGTCCGGCTGCTCCTGGGAAACTTCTACCATGCATGACATGGTACCAAAATACCTTGCTCGGTTACCGGTTGTCTGCGCATCGTGCGGTGGTGGTGGTGGTGGTTGGTGGCGGGTTCCGTACGTGTGAGGACTCCTGTCTGGTCCGGGGCGCACACATCCCTACCTTACCCCGGAATGCAGGAGCCCACAAGACCTTGTCCGCACGAGAGACACCAGCATGTGGCTGGCCCCTGCGCGGTAGCGCAAGATCCGTAAGAACAACGGCCTTGAAAACAACAATTGGCGTGTCCAGGCCTCTAAGCCCCGGGGGGGGGGGGGGATCGTCGCTCCCAGAAATCGTCACAGCGTGGCAGAAGAACTGCCCTTGCTGCCGCCACAAGCTCGCACCCCCGCCAGCGCTGCGAGAGCATAATTGTCTCACCGATCAGTGCGGGCAGCTCGGTCGGTCAAGCGATGCGCACCGATGCTCCCCTGTAGCGTAACGGCCCTTTCGATCGAGGCACCTCACGGACCAGGCAGTGCTCGCCAGAGGAGCCCGCCAGCAGGGCGGCCGCAGAACTGGTCCAAGAAACAAACAAAAAAAAGAAAAGAAAAAATTGCGCTGATTAATTAGGGCTCTGGGCGGCGACCACATGGGCATCGAGCACTCCACGTTGTCTGCTAGACTGCCGAAGCCGGTGCCCAATACAGCGCAGAGTTGCGAGATTGTTGACTGCCATGCAACATTTCGGCCCTTTCAGCCTGTCAGTTTTGGAGTGGCGCCGTGAAACCAAGTTGCTCAACCTGATGAGAGTCCCAAGGTTCGCCCAGGTGGCTGATACATGTTGACGCCGCCGGTTCGGCTTCCCATGTCGCGTGTACACACGGGAAGCTGAACGGGCGTGGCCACAGCAGCCTCGTCGTAGCACATGGGAACAGTGCTGAGAAAGTATCATGCGCGTAATATCTGGTATATCTGCCCACCGACGGCGACAGTTCTGCCATATCTCGCCGGAACGAGATGCCGGTCGTTTACCGCCGACTCAGGAGCAGATTCTTCTGCCTTGGTCGGGTTCTCTACGGTGATCCCACGGGAGTGTCTCGGGCGCGCAAAATACAACTTTCTTGGTGTTGAGGAAGGGGAAGGGGGGAAGAAGGGAGCGTCAAGCCGAAACAGAACTTCTTCGCAGGCAGTTGGAGACGGCACTCTGCACGAGACAGCCCTCGATGAACATGCTAGGATTTGATGAGCCGCTGGCTAATAAGGTAGGGGTCCTAAAAATTGCGCACCCAGCGCGAGAGCGAGACAGAGTGACGCTGAAAACAGAGACGAGCCAACTGCGCCGAGAAGGAGCGGCGCCACACTGCCCTGAAGCCGACCCTGCATGTCTTGGCCCTTGGTCTTCCGGGTCGTTTCCCACCGTTCCCTGACGACAAAATATCCCTCTCGAGCCTCACCCTTTCATGATGATGTTGAGGCCGGCTCTTTTCTTTGGGCTCATCTGTATCCCCTTTCGTCTTGTTGACAGATCGGGTGACTCGCAGCGGGAGGCTGCCGTAGCGTCTTCACTTCCTGCCGTGGGGCTTCCAGCCCATGCACGCGTCCCCCCTGGGTGAGCGATCGAACAGGTTTACAAGGAGCCGTTATCGTCCAGGTTGGGAAATCGCTGCCACCACGGCTGCTTGTGGCCGCGTTGTCTTAGACGTCCTCTCAAGCTCAGAAGGAAGACGACGTTGCGTGGCGAGATCGCCCTTTTCTTCACCCTCGGAAGGAGACGGACCCTCTCTCACCACAGCGCGGTGCCTCCCCCTTTGCCGCCAGCTCGTTTTCCCATACCGGCGTGTCGCCCGCCGCCTCTCCCTGCCCTCGCGAAGCCCTGGCCAAACATGTCGCCCTCCTCCATGACGGGATCGTTTGATTTGAAGCCCTCGCTATCCCTGAAGACGGCTTCATACATGCCGCCTACTGCCTTGGTAAGCTCCAGCATAGCCCTCACCCTCTCGGCGTCGGCCTGCTGCAGGATCTCCAACGTGCCCTCCTGCTGATTAATTTTGCCCTGGATCTTCTGGTCGATGATGAGGAAGCCCAAAATATCGCTCACCTCCGACTCGGAGATTCGAAGCTGCTTGCCGATCCATGCCAGCTTCATACGGGTATACGGCGCGATCAGCTTGACGATACCTTTGGTGCGCATATTGCGTGTAACCTCATCAATATTCTCGGCGATGAAGGGGTCATCGAGAAGATCACGGTTCAGCTCTAGGACCTTTTGGTAGGCGTGGACATCGTCGCGCTGGTAAGCATCCACGAGGTCGGTCATGGCCGTGATGCGAGGATCCGTCTTGTAGGGTTTCGTCTCCTGTGAATCAAAGGGGTTGATGGTGGACTTGGTGAGCATGGTCGTGAGGAGAAGATATTTCAGAACCTGAATGCGTTGAAGAGAGCCGGCCTCGTCATAGTTGCGGAAGGATTCGTGAAAGTCTGACTGCGCTTCAACCCAGTTCTCCTCGCTCATGTGCATTTTCCCACCGCACTCACGGATGATGCCCATGATCTTGGGGTGGGGCACCGCCGATTTGACCTCGAGGGCGCGGACGTAGAGTCTCTTGAGTTGCTTATTGTTCTTCATCTCGGCGTACATCTGAATCTCGAGGACGTAAATCTCGAGCGAGTAGGTGCCCTTGCTGGGATCGTCGGTGCCGTCCTCCCGCTGACACGTCTTGTGCAGCTCGCGGACCTTCTTCGCGAGAGCCTGGTAGTCCTTGCGGTCGAGCAGGAGCTTGGCGAGCTTTATATTGGTCTTGAGCCATAACCTCTCGTTGTTGGTGCTCTGGAAGCTCTGAAGCGTCAGGGAGTAGAATTGTTCGACGCACTTGCCGGACTCAGTCGAGTCTGAGCCCTTCTCGACAAAATCAAGCAAATTATTGATGGATTTCTCAGAGTAATTCCTCGTGACGGCATTCTTGACATATGTGAGGAGTTCCGCGTAGTGCTCGGCAGCCTGCGAGTGAAGTGAGTGTACGGTCAGCGAGGGTCGACGGGCGAGAAGCGACGGTGAGGAAGGCGCACATCGTTGTATTTTCCGAGCCTGAACTCAAGCTTGATGGCTTGCTTCAGGCCCTTGAATCCCCATTCTCCTTTCTCGTCTTCCAGGGCGGGGATGCCTAGAAATTCTGCGATTGCCTCTTCTGGCTCGGCGACCTTCTGTTGCTTTGCGTTGTAGTATTTGTTCTCAATATCGACGTCGCCGGTCTCCTCGTCGTCATCCTCCTCGTACTCGAAGTCATATCTGGGCTACGAGTCAGCAGGACGATTCAGTGCGTTCCCTGATGGCAAGGCGAGCCTCACTGCTCGTCATCCGACTCCTGCATGAAGTCGTCGTCGGACATGATGGCGAGATTCGGAGGGGTAGCTTCTCAACCAAGAGTGGGACGAGAACCGCGTTCGAGGAAGGGGCTCGACTTGGTAAAGGACCCTTGATGATTGATGAGCAAGAGAGATGTGGCCTTGTACCAAGGCCGTTTCGATAATCAGGGAGCTACTTTCAGAGTCCGATGATCGAGCTCGTAGTCGTTCAGATGATGCGCGCGTAGGCAATGTAGATAGATGCGGTACGTTTCCCAGTGCGTGCCTGTACTGCACTGAAGGTCACTGAACGGCGCAAAGGCGGGGAGCTTTATTAGCTTATCGATTGGCTGCCAGGCAGTCGATCCAAGATCCTGGCAAAGCCTGGGGCGACAATGATATGATGACTCAGCATCGGACAGTGGGTCCTCCTGGGGGAATAGCAGAAGGCTGGCTGGATGGCAACTTTTACGGTGCCTGTCCAACGTACATCGACATCCATCTGACTATTTTGCAGACACCGCCACCAGAAGCACGTTCTGCCGAAACACTACGCGCATTGAACCGAAAACCAGCAGCTCATCATGGGCGGCGATCTCAACCTCAAGAAGAGTTTCCACCCGGGCCTCCTCAAGAACCAGGCCAAAGTCTGGGAGGAGGAGAAGAAGGCCCTCGACGAGCGCAAGAAGACGCAGCAGCGCATCAACGAGCTGAAGGAGGAGCGCGCGCGCGAAGAGATTCAGAAGCAGCTCGAGGCCGCCGGCCACACCAAGAAGATCGACCGCGTCGACTTTCTCTACAATGGACCGACAAACGGTCAGACGGGCACGACGGAGGAGATGGAGGGCTACCTGCTTGGCAAGCGGCGCATCGACAATCTGATTACGGGGTCCGACCACAAGAAGCTGGAGAAGCAGGCTGGGCAAGAGAGCTTCATGGCGCTGCAGACGGCCAACACGGCGCGCGACACGGCGGCCAAGGTGCGCGAAGATCCGATGCTCGCCATCAAGAAGCAAGAGCAGGCAGCATATGAGGCCATGATGAATGATCCGATCCGGCGGCGGCAGTTACTGGCCAATATGGGTCTGTCAGAGGAGACCAAGGACCGGTCCAAACGCCGAGAGGACAAACACAGAAAGAGGCGGCACCGTCATCGGGATGAGGGTTCGGACGATGAGAGGCGACAAAGGCATCGGAGGCGAGCACATTCACGATCGCGGAGCCCGTCACGGCACCGCAGGGACGGTTCGGACGACGGGAACGACAGGCGCAGGAGCAGCCGCCGAGACTCACCAAAACGCAGGCGGCATGACTCGGAAGAAGACGTTGACCGTCGGCGAGAGAGAAGATCGAGGTCGCCTCGCCGACGTGAGCGCGAGGCTCGAGATAGTCACCACGAGCGCGGCGGCAGGCGGGACGACCGGTGGAGGGACGGGGATCGTCGTGACAGCCGACGCGACGAGCGACATGACACGCAAGATGTTCGTGGACGTGACGGCGACCGCGAACGGAACTACGACAGACCAAGACGCCATTCAGACAGGTCGCCGCAAGACCAGCATCGTCGCCATTTTGACGGAGGCAGGCGGAACGGAGGTTCTGCGCAAGGCGGCGGCGGCGGCGCAAAAGATAACAAAGCCGACGAGGAGGAGAAGGCGCGTAAGCTGGCGGCGATGCAGTCGGCGGCGTCGGAGCTCGACTCGTCACGGGAACAGAGGTTGGCAACGCTCGCGCAGCAGGAGAAGGCGGCGCGCGACGCCGACGATGAGGCGCGGCAACGTGCGTCGAAGCACGGAGGCGAGAATGAGTTTGCGAACCGGCTACATCGCAAGGCGGGGGATTTGGGCTTGGCGGAGCGGATGGGTCGGGGTCGGCAGGGTTACCAGCGGGATGACGACTGAAGGCGATCGGGAGGCAGTCTTGCCCAGTTTCTTTTTTGAGGCTGTAGAATGTAGGAACGGCCTCGTCGTCTGTAGCGGGATCAAATAAGACGCCAATTGCCAGACGATCCACACCATGCCTTGTTTCTTTTCCCAAACGAGCAGTACTGATGTGACATGTATATTGCAGAAGTAGAAGACTCGGATTTCTCCAGCAGACATGATTAGTCAAGATCTTGACGGCTTGACCTGTCACCAATAGTGCGTAACTCGGCTGATGGGCTTGGATATAGCGGGAGCACAAGAAAGCGTCTTGGGGACGGGCTGGCTGGGATCCATTCCCATGGCTCCACTTCAGGCAGGTTGCACGTCAAATCATACAGCATTCCTCCTGCGATGTTGGTGGATGACTTGCAGGCGCGATATCTAAATACAGCATACCGACCCTACCTAGTATATGTGCAGTACATGCCTGCGTGCCCACATGCCTGATGAGAAATACAGTGCAAGGGTGTCTTGAGCGGCAGGTCACAGAAGGGAGTTGCTGCTCGGCGGGCGACATCTGGTCGTCCGAAACGAGACATGGAGATTCTAGCGGCCTGTCCATGAGCCGATCGGCGAATATCAAAATGGTGGTGCCAGAGCGTGGCCCTGAGCGCGATCCAGAGCCCGTGGGTGCCCACGGGCTGTGCCTTGGCCGAATCGATAGCGCCGCTCAGTTGCCCCTCAACCCCTCTGATGAATGGCCTCCCAGGCGGCGCGTCCAGTGGACTGGTGCAGTGGACTGGTGCAGTGGGTTGGTGCAGTGGGCTGGTGCAGTGGGCTGGTGCAGTGAACTAGCGGGCCTATCAACGCTACTGCCGCTGTCGATGGGGGGCGGTACCCACCATGTGGAGAGGGGCCTTGGGGGGAAACAGTGAGCATGCCCATTCTTGCCATTACCTAGGCAGGTACCTACCTGGGTAGGTACGGTAGACAGGCAGTAAAAGTATCTGGGTAAGTACCCAGGTACCGTTCATGCCTAGCGCATCTCGGCCAATTGCCAATTTCCCTGGTCGCGCTGGGGTGACGGGGACTTCCCTGTCCTGTTCGTTCTTCGCCTCGCCTATGCCACTGCCACTTGAAGTCGCCTCCAGCCACTGCCTGCTGATGATCTGAGCCCCCTCCACTCGTCACCTCCATCCAGCCTGTGCGTGCTCTATCCAATCTCTCTCTTCTCGAGTCCCAAACTCTACGTGCTGCCCACCCTCAGTCTCCCAGCTGGATCAATCTCACCCTCTTTTGCAACTTTTCCCTAACGCGAACACGATTATCACACCCGACAACCCCAAGCCCTCTTGCTTCCTGCCCGGCCCCTCCTCCGTTGACAGGGTCCACAGACGCCCGCTCCCTACCCAAGAGCCCGCGCGCGCAGTCGAGGATCCACCTTTTAAGATCCAACTCCTGAACCCAGACAGACACCATCGAAGACTCGTGCCAACAACAAACGAGGCGGCCAATCTACGCTCTCGCACGAGCAATCAACGAATTCCTCTCTCCCTCTTCCTCCGCCCAAACCATTGTTCTCTGGGAAGCCGACCTCTGCGACGACTTTGCCCCCTCACGTTTCCGACTCGACCTCCCCCCCCTTCCCAACATCGCCCACGATGCCTGCGCTCTGTGGAGGCTCCAAGACCGCCAACCGGAAGCTGGTGCTGCTGTAAGACTCCCTGCAGCCGAGCGCCTGCACGCTGGCTCAAGAGAACGCACTGTTTTTCGGCTGACCAAAGTCTCGTTTCTTCCTTGCAGAGGTGACGGCGCGTGCGGAAAGACGTCATTACTTAATGTCTTCACAAGAGGGTATGTGGGCAAACCAAACTCGACTCGTCTTCGCGATACCACGAGCCATGCTCTGACAGCCTGATCAGATACTTCCCTACCGTCTACGAACCCACAGTCTTCGAGAACTATGTCCATGGTACGCGCGCTACCGGTGCTCTGCCCTGTTCTGCTGAGGACGCCCCTGGTATCTGACATGTTGCACAGATATCTTTGTCGATAACGTCCACATTGAGCTGTCCTTGTGGGACACTGCCGGCCAAGAAGAATTCGACCGTCTCCGCAGTCTATCCTATGGTGAACTCTCTATTCTCACGACGCAACGTGATTGTCACATGCTAACAAGCTCGCCTTCCAGACGACACGGATCTGATCGTACTCTGCTACAGCGTCGACAGCAAGGACTCGCTCGAGAACGTCGAAAGCAAATGGGTCGGCGAGATCGCGGATAACTGTCCCGGTGTCAAGCTTGTTCTTGTGGCGCTCAAGTGCGACCTGCGCGAGGGCAACGATGACGAGAACGTCGGCGCCGATGGCCAGCCGCAGGCGCCGCAACCCGGCGAGAAGCGCAACCCCACCCTGATCAACTACGACCAGGGCCTCGAGGTCGCCCGTCGTATCCAGGCATCTCGCTACCTCGAATGCTCGGCCATGAAGAACCGTGGCGTCAATGAGGCATTCACCGAGGCCGCGCGTGTCGCCCTCAGCGTCAAGAAGGAGCGCGACGAGTCCAAGTGCATCGTCATGTGAGCCAGCCGGGCTTCATGTCAATGAGCGACACCTACTCTCTCTTACCATAATTGCTTGTCTACTCCAGGGGGCGTCGGCGTTTACGCGAAACGGATCGGATCCGGATACGGCCCCTTGTCTCTCTGCTTTTGCTCTTTCATCACAGCCACGCTTTTCTTCTTTCTACATACAATACACCCACGAGCGGAGCCCGGGATCGCCTACCACAACCACCCTTTTCTTTGACCCTCCCGCTCACGCGAGCCACTTCATCTTATTACTCCCGTTACTTGTGGCTGGATCGCGCCTTCGCCTTGCCCACGATTCACCAGACTTTGAAACTGTATATACCAGATTATTCTACTCGCTTTGGCTTGGTTCGCTACACTGTTTCCCGTCTTTTGTCATGTGCAGTGTGTCTCTTCATATATAACGGCGGTGACCCGGAAAAAGGACTTGTAGACTTTTCGATGCGGAGAGCGGTTCGTCTTGTCGGGCCATGCAGTGTTCTGTATTACAGGTGTTGGTACCATGTTCCAGACTGACGTCAACCCAAAGATTTCGAATACTGCAGCGTGCGTTCCGTGATTGTCCCTTGATGGCGAGTAACAGAACCTATTGCTCCAGACTAGAAGCTTCACTTCGACTCGAGCTGTAGAAGGAGCGGCTGAACAGCAGGGGCAAGGGGATATGCATGTCCGCTCAGCTGCGATTGAGTGGCTGTCGCTCTGTGACCCCTGAAGAGTCAATAGGGTGCCTTGACTGACGGCTCGTGGCTTGGTCGTCTTTCTTTCCGGGTGCCTGGGCTGGATATTGAACAGGAACTCTGGAGTCCAACTTCTCGTGAACTTTGTTGTTTTGTGTTGAACATCATACTGGTGTTCGCACCACCAGTGCCGTGGCACCTGGTCGAGTGCCGCTGTAACACCCCTGGTCTACCCCGGATTCGCCGAGACAGAACACGCAGGTGCCCTCTTCGGTGGTGGCCATCGTGGCTGGCGGCTTTCTCCTTGCAGACTGGCTGTTCTCCCCCTGTGCGTCTACGGCAAGGTGTCTGGTATAGGCGACGAGTCATGGATCCGGAGCCTACAGTCACGCTGGGGAAAGTGTCCCTCGGAAGAGATGGCTGACCGAGCGTGCCTCGAGCGTGTCGGTGAGGACTGCAGCCCGCTGGCCTGTTGAGAGAGCTGGATGCCTTCCGCTCTCCAAACCGTCCCGTTGCGTCTGCTTCCTCGAAAGGGGCCCCCTCGTAGCGTGAAACGCCCTTCCTGGTCGTCTGCCTTCTCCGCAGCATCGCCGCCGGGCCGCTTCGAGACCATACATCCACCTCTTCCGTTCATGCTTCAAACCGCGTTGACTCTGCAGGACCGTCGGCGGCGCATGTCGTCCCAGCCGCCAGGCGCGCAGCGAGGTTCCCCTTTCTGAAACAGTAGCTCACAAGGAAACACAGCACAGCACAGCACAGCACAGCATAGAAACATGCATGTGAAGGCTTCCACCGAGTCGACAAGCAAGGCGAGCAGGCTCTTGGGGGGTTACTGCGGAACGCCTGCCCGGCATGCCACACGCCCCCTTGAGCGCATCCTCGAGCGCAAAGGCTAGCCCAGCGGCCCTCTCTCCCCGGTCCAGCCTCCAGCAATCCAGTGGCGGCAGGCCAGGCGGCGGGATACCGCCGTGCAGCACGACTGCATGTCTGTGTGTGTCGTTCCCGCGTGGACCGGTATTCCGACGACGCCTGTCACTGTCTCCTGTTCCCCCTCAAGGTACCCTGGCCCTCCGTTTCCTTCTTCCAACCCCCCCCCCCCCTTTCGCGGCGACAGGGACGGGTGAGGGGTCACGGCAGCGCGGGCATGCTGTGCGCTGGGAAGGGTGAAAGGGGAGAGGGGGAGTGAGGGGGGGTTGCACTAGTCGGGTATGCAGGCGCAAGGCATGATGGAGGAGGGAAGAGGAGAGGGGGAGCTGACGGGGAGTTTCCTTCTTTTGGGGTTAAAACATGGTATGCCGACCGGAGGGTAGGTTGAACGTACAAGTAGTGCAAGGTAGCATTCGGAGCGGTCAGAAGGGGGCTGACGACCAATGGAGCGTCTTCAAATCCGCCAGGGGCACGATGAGGAGGAGGTTTTTCGGAGGCCCGGAGGTTTTTTGCTTTTTTTTTCTCGTTGTTTATTCTCCTTGTCGTGCAGATGGATGTCTTGGGTGGATGCTGTGTTGTTACGGTAAGGTACTTTGGGGGAGGCGGCTTGGCCGTGGTTTTTCGCGACCCCAAGTGAGGCCGGTGAGTGAGACGGAAAGAATCGAAGCTGCGAATATCCCCTGCCTTGCATTAGGCAATGTTCTGATCTGACCGTAGGTGCCTTATCATAAGGTGGGTTAGGTTCGTCAGATGGGACCAGTCCACCGAACGTATTCTATTGAAGGTTTGAACGGAGATACGGCTGTATGCCCAGCAATGCCCCAAGCCAGCCAGCCAGACAAACAGACAGAAGAGCGGTTACCCGAAAACAGTTCGTTGTCCTGACCAGGCGATCCGGAGGTTGCCGCTGCTGTCGAGTGAGTAGTGGACTGACAACGAAACTCAATCGCGCACGCTCCACCATGTGAACTTCTCCCAGGTCGAAAGCCCGCACGATCAGACGCTTACTGCACAGCATTCAGTTGAATAGATTGCCCACGAAAAGTCAAAGTTAAATTCGACAGCACTCGACAACCAAAGCACGAGACACGGTAATCACCTCGTGTGAACACACAGTGCATCAAGTCGTGATTCGCATTCATTACGTCTCCTCGAGACATTCCCCAGGAGACCTTTCTACACTACTGCTATTACTACATGATCCCCGCTCACCTGCTCACGCGGTAGGGGTAGGTAGGCAGTGGCACGCCGAGCTGACGCGCGAGATGACGTTGGTGCCGCACGCCTTGGAGGCGGAACTCGGGCACGACCTTGACGTCGCTGACGTACGTCTTCGTGAACTCGCCGCAGAACTTCTGGCTCTCCTCGAGGCGGCCCTTGATGCTGGATGAGCGCAGCGCACGCAGGCAGTTGTCGGCGTTGCACGACTGCTTCTTGGGGCACGACGCGCGCTTGGTCATCTTGACGAGGTAGACGCCGCGCTCGATCGTGTTGACAATGGGCGTAGCCGCTTCCGTCGAACTGGTAGCTCGACCACGAGCCGAAACATCTCGACGCTGGCCGCCGCCGGGCTGGTTGTCATCCTCGGGGAAGATGTCAAAGTATGCGATCTGAGAAGGGGGCAAGTTGAGTCAGCTTGGCAATCACCCGAGAGAATATTGGAAAGCAAATAAACTCACCTCGCAGACACCGGCACCGGTGGGGTCCTCGGGAATGGAGGAAACATCGTAGACGCGGAAACCGGCACCGTAGCTGGACTGGAAGCTGAGACCGTTCTTGATGTACTGGTTGTGGTCGGTGGCAACGACAGTGCCTGTTTCCCATGGTCAGTCAGCGACGCTGCGTACAACATTGACGAAAGGAAGAAGAAAAAAAGCGAACAAACTCACCCTTGTAGATGCCGGTGTTCTTGGGAGCCTCGAGCGACCTGATGTCCCCAGATGTAGGTCACGGGGTAGCCGTCAGAGGCAGGGTTGAGGCCGTCCGTCTCATCGTACTCGTCGTCCATCAGGAGGTACTCCTGCCAGTTGACGTCGAGGACCCAGCCCTGGTGGGTGTAGGAAGCACCCTCGTACGAGGTGACGGAGAGAATCTTGGAGTTGGCCTTGTCTGTCACGTCGTAGATGGTGAGCGTGTCCTCATTGTAGCCGTAGCAGATCTGGTGACCCTCGTACTTGGTGTCGGGGCCGTGGTACGTGAGGCACTGCGCGTCATGGACGTAGCCATCCTGTCCGTTGCAGCCGAGCCTCTTGGGGTTGGAGGGGTCCTTGAGGTCGACGAAGATGAGACCGGACTTGCAGACGTCGGTCCTGGGGCGGGCACCGACGGCGGCAAAGTACTCGTTCTCCTCGTCCACGACGATGTTGTGCGTCTGGCCGTTGGGTAGGTCCTTCCAATGGGCCGTGACGTCCTTGACAATGTCGAAGACGACAGGGCCGGCCGAGGCGTTGACGGTGAGCAGCTTGCTCATGTCGAAGATCTGGACGCCGTGGCCGGGGAGCTCAGAGCCGATGATCATGTAGTTCTTGAAACCACGAATCTCCTTCCACAGCGCGTTGGGGTTGGTCTTGGCCGGCACGGGCAGGAAGCCGAGCTGGGCCAGCCTTCCCTCCTTGAGGATCTCGACGAAGGCAGTGCCGTCGAACATGCCAATGGCGGCAAACTCACGGCCCGTCTTGGGGTCGGTCCAACCCCACGAACCGCTGCCGGTCAGGAGGTTGCCGTCACCGAGCTCGTCCCAGCCGTTGGGGGAGCCGAGAGTGGCGAAGTTGATAAAGTCGTACAGGTCAATGTTCTTGCAGCGGAACGTAAGAAGCTCGTTGCCAGGCACAGCGGCGGCCTTGCCGTCGATGCACTTGGTGTAGTTGAGCCTGGGCCAGACCTCCGAGTTGAGGAGGCCGGCGTCAAACTCACCCATCCAAGCATCCATCTTGTGCTTCATGTTCCTCTCGTGGATGTAACCAGAGTCGTTAGAGCTCTGCAGAAAGGCCGTTAGCCGTATTTCTGGGCGCAAATGCTGGGCGCGCCATCGCGAACAGGACGTACCGGCGCCCTTGACCAGATCCTTGGCCAATTCCTTAGCCATGACGCCCGAGGCGGCGGCGAGCGCCGTGCCCGAGAGAGTAGAGAAGCGCATCTTGACAGTGACGTGCGTCGACCTCTGTTCGTTTTGTGATGGAGGGAAACGAAGAGGGACAGAGAGCCGAGTGTTTGACTTGTATCACCGGGGTGAGCGGGCACACAAGGTTGAGTGAGGAGCAAGAGGAATGTCCTTGATCCATCCCGGGAGGAGCTCGGGAGTGGGCATGCCGCAATGCTTTATGCTTGCTCTCACTCTCCCGCATTCCCCTGTCCGACGGCTACCGCCAGGGAGAAGTCGCTCGCCGTTCCTCGGGTCAGTGATCAGCCCTCGCGCGAGGCGAATCTAACCCTGGCTCATCCGACGTGCAACCAAGAGCTGCAAATGCACCCCAGGTGCCCTCAACCAGATAACACTGAGCTTCCACTTACAGTACCGCGCTAAGGCGCGGTCATGGCCGCGATCCAGGAGTGATCTCCTGCCTCTTTAGGCAGGTCTGAACCGAGCGGCGCTGACCCGACCAATTGACATGTCCATAATCAGCCGTCAGGGCCTTGCACATGGAAATACGAATGGGACCGTATGGAGACCTCATGCAACGTCTGCCAGGGTCAGGCACATTGCCCTTGGCGAACAGGCTGATGGGTCATTTGGGCCACTTGGGCCCCTCTTGTTGCCGTCGCGTTGCCCAATCGACAACTTCAATCGACATGTTCACTGCTGGTGGAGGCTGGTCTTGGCAAACGTCAATCCGGCATCGGCCTACCGACACCCAGCTTGAATAGGAAGGCCAACGGTGATGGATCCAAAGCCCCCTCAGTTCTGGAATCGCCTGTCTGCTTTTATTCATCGCCTTGACCAACAAATTTGCCACGAGGTGATGTTCTACCACCGATCCGGACGGCCCGAGCTGCAGGCCATGGAGGCAGCTAAAGCATGGAAGGCAATCAGTTCTGTTTCCATACCGGCTTCCCCGCCGTCGACGAACTTTCCATCAGTCGAACACCCTTGCTGTGCCAATGGGTGCGACTTGGGCAATGGACCATCAAGGTCAACCTCCAACTAGGCAGTCCAAGCAGGAGAGATTGGGATGTCAATCCTCCAGGGGTGAACGCGCGACAAGCAACACAGGTGTGAACAACGAGAATATGTATTCTTGATCCAGATATCCAAAACGCCATCCATGACCATGAACCCAATCGTCACATGTGCTATTCAAATCATGACGCTTCGTTGGCGGCGGCCTCTTCCTCAAAGAGCACAAGCACCGTGCCAGCTTTGCAAATGTCCTAGTTGTCATCAGTAAACAATTTCCACCAAGCTGATACGGATTTCCACTTACCCCCTCCTTGTGTGCCAGTTTCTTCACCACACCATCCTGAGGTGACCTGATGACGGTCTCCATCTTCATCGACTCAATACTGTCGGGTATTAGCGAACTCTCCAGCGATACTTCAAGAGAAACAGCTGGACTCACACAACCAATGGCGCACCCTTCTTAACGACCTCGCCCTCAGCGACCTCGTTTCTCAGAACCTTGCACGGCATCGGCGCAACGACAGAGGCAGCAATCTCTTTGAGGCCCAGCGCCTTCTCGAACCACTTGGGCGGCAGCAGGGCTAGCTCTGTCCTCACACCGTGCTGGAACACGACAACCTTGGAGTCCTGAGTCTCGGTTGCGTTTGGTGTCGTCCTGACTACTGTGGAGTGTATCCTCTCGCCGGGGAAGAAGGTTGTCAGCTTGGTTGCCAGGGATTTCGGTGTCGATGAAGTGCATGCAATCTTCTCGATCACCACTGGCTCGGCGCCCTGCCTCGTCACAGTGGCGCTAAACATGCCGGGACTTGTCTGGCTGACTGTGACCCTGCACAACCTCGCCATCCTGCTTTGAGTATGCGTCTAGCACCCTTGAGCGCAAAACTGCGCTCTGTTGCTGTGTTTGGCGCGCCGAACCCCGAGACTGCCGCCGTGGGGCTCCTCGCTCGCGAGCTGCGCCGTCAACGAGCCCAGAGCTGCCTGCACAAAGACCTCGTCGGTGATCACTCGAGGCGCAAAGAGCTCATCCTTCCACTTCTCGATGAAACCTGTTTCCACATCACCCTCGATGAACGCCGGCGAGCGGCACATGCGCTTGAGGAACTCGATGTTCGTGCTCAGACCGACCACTTCATAATCGCGAAGTGCAAGCTCCAGGCGACGGATAGCCGTCTCACGGTCGCGGCCGCGCACAATCAACTTGGCAATCATGCCGTCGTAGGCTTCGGAAACGGTGTCGCCCTGGACGAAACCGGCATCAATACGGACGTCGGGATCGGTGGCAGGAGTGGTAAGGTGGACAAGCTTGCCAGAGTCAGGCATGAAGCCCTTTTCAGGACTCTCGGCATATATACGCGCCTCAATTGCAGCGCCCCGTTGAGAAATGGCTTCAGAAATCTCCTCTTGTGTCATGGGAGAGCTTCTCGCCCAGCCCGCAATTGTTCAGCTGCCATTCAACCAAGATCGGTGCCCAGTGACCATCTCACTGACCGGGATGCTCAACTTGCAGACGAGTGTTCATCTCCATGAAGTAGAACTCGCCAGTGTCGCGGTCCAGAATAAACTCCACAGTACCAGCGCCGACGTAATCAACGGCGGAAGCAGCCTTCCGCGCCTTATCCCAGAGATCGAGTCTCGTGGCTTCGTCTAGGCAGGGTGCGGGCGACTCTTCGAGAATCTTCTGGTGACGACGCTGCACACTGCAGTCACGCTCACCGAGTGCCACACAGTTTCCGTGCTTGTCGGCGAAGACCTGGACCTCGACGTGACGCGGACGCACGATGTACTTCTCCACAAGCATGACCTCGCCGCCGTCGCCAAACGATGCCTTAGCCTCGAGCCTGGCGCTGCGTAGCTGGGCGGGAAACTCGTCTTCGGTCAAGACGATGCGCATGCCCTTGCCACCACCGCCCTTGACGCTCTTCAGGAGCACAGGGAAGCGGACCTCGCGAGCGTGCTGCAGCAGCTGTGCCTCCTCTTGATCCGCGCCGTGGTACCCCGGAACACAGGGAACACCGGCAGCGGTCATGATCTCCTTGCTGCGAGCCTTGTCGCCCATGTCGTGCATGGCTTTGGCGGGCGGGCCAACGAATACGATGCCCTCCTTCTCGCAGCGAGAGGCAAAAGCGGGGTTCTCGGAAAGGAAGCCATAGCCAGGGTGGAGTGCCTGAATACCGTGCTGCTTCGCAAGAGAGATTATGCGGTCGCCGTCGAGGTAGGCCTTGGGGTTGCCGAGTGAGAGGGAGTGTGGTGAGCAGGCGGCATGCTGGGAGGAGGCGTCTGGGTCTGTGTAGAGGGTTGTTGTACGGATTCCGAGCCTGTCGGCAGTCTTGTGGATCCTGAGAGCAATCTCACCACGATTGGCAATGAGGAGCGATGTGATGGGAGTGATTTGAGGAGCTGCCGACGCCGAGATGCCCGTTGCAGCCGTGGACAAGAGGCGAGGGAGGGGGCGGGCGAGCCGATGCTTTGCCTTCATGGAACGCATTTTGATGTGCAGAACGTGTCAAGGAGGAAGTCTCTATGTCCTGGACAGCAATTGACCAGTGTCTCCTCGAGATGGTAGAGTGGGAAGACAGAAACAGAAAAAGGATTCGATCGCTCAGCACAAAAGACAGAGGAAAGAAGATCCCGAGGTGTTGTAGAGGTTGCCATCCGGGGAAGGTGCCTTGCCGCTGATAGCCGGTGGTGCCCGCCTGCCGGAGCCAGCCGCTGGTTGTTTCTTGCCGTGCTTGTTCTCCTCCCAAACGGCACAAGTAGTGGCAGGTGGTATGGCCCGTGCCTACTTTCCCCCTCATTGCTATTCTGACTCCACAGGTGTCGGTACGTGTCTGGACTTTGCGTCATTCGTTCTGGGGACAGGAGATGCCCCTCCTTAGTCAGCAGCACTTCGCGGCAGCACGCAGACGGAGATTCCCTCCACCACGGATCATCATGGCACCTGGACGTTAGCTGTAAGCGCCAATCACGCGAACTTGAGCTGTGCCTTACGCTGTAGCACTGCGATCAATTTAAAGCACCTTGAAATCTATCGAAGTCCCGATACAAGGCTTGATCAACTCCTTATACTGCCACTCCTCGACACGAGACCCCCCGCAATGGAAACAGCACCCCTCAACTACGAGGCTTCGGCCGGCGATACCAACAAGCAGTACACAGCAACCCTGCCACAGGACGTGGTCCAATGTCTCGAGAACGCCCGTTTTGTTCGTTTCCGTCCCTGAGCCCTAGCCTCGGCCAAGACTAACCAAGACGCATGCGCGCGCTGCAGCTCCACTTGGCAACTTGCACAGACGACGTGCCCAATGTTTCGCTCATGAACTACACCTACCTGCCCTCGTCGCCCTTCTCCGCGGCGCCCGTCATCGCCATGACGACGAACCCGGCCTCGCGTAAGACGACGAACCTCCTCTCAAACCCCAACGTCTCCCTACTCGTGCACGACTGGGTCTCCCACCGCCCGCCGACGTCGGCCCGCCGCCCCTCCGGCGGCTCCCCCGGCCCCGAGCACCGCTCCTCCCTCGCGTCGCTGCTGCTCAACATCAACACGTCGGCCGTCTCGAGCATCAGTGCCACCATCAACGGCACCGCCCGCCTGCTCGACGCCGGCTCGCCCGAGGAGCGTTTCTACCGCGAGCAGCACCTCGAGAACAACACGTTTGACAACGAGGGCTTTGGCCCTGCGAGCGTTGAGGCCGAGGACGGCGGACGCGGCTGTTTTGTTGCAGGAGAAGAGGTCAGGGTTATTGTCGTTACGATTCGCGACGTGAGGATCAGCGATTGGAAGGGTAGCGTGCGGGACTTTGTCCTGACGACGACGACCGAGGGCTCGGCAGAGGCGGCCGTCAATGGCGTGAGGTAAACGGAATCAGTGAGGGCTTGGGACTGGTCACGGATGCGAGTGGTGAAAGTCGCTAGTCTGACTTTTAATATGTATTTCGACGAAAGTTCAAACTACTCGAAGAAAGAAATGTGACATGGAACGCTCGCTGCTTTAATCAATGAAAATCACTCCAAACGCCTCCAGCGGCGCCAGCCGGAAGCCTCTCGACTTTGGTAGGTCAGGCCCTGCCGCGAAACCAGCAGCTATACCTCTTCATAGCCACAATGGCTCAGCCGGCACAGCCCAGTGTTTGGGGCAAAAATGCACCAAAAACGATCCTCGGGGCTGTGACTGTGGCGGCTGCCACCGACCTGACATATCGTCTTATTTTAATACAGAGGTGAAAAGGAAAATGATGAATGTTTGCGTATGATGATCCGTTTGACACGGACGTAGGACCTAGCCGAGCTGGGCCCACTCGACAACCTCAAGGGCACACATAACAAGAACGAGGGTGGAGGGAAGGATCCTGGATAGGTTGTTAGTTTGGGCATGACAACAAGAGGAGAATCATGGCGAAGGACATACCAAATGACGTAGCTCTGGAAGAGAATCTTCGACATAACGCCCTCGTAGACCTCGTTGATCTGGCAAATCTGGGCCAGCTGCAGGGCACTCGGGGCACCCGTAAGGAGGAAGCACACGATGACGAAAATGGGATCGTCAAGGATGCTCACGGGCACGTACTTGGCGAAGACAGCGAGGATGGGGGCCATGATGAGTGTGGGGAGAAGCATACGGCAGATGAGCGAAGCGATGAGGAGCTTCTGGCCGATAATGTCCTCCTCAGGATCACGTTGCTTCTCGCTCTTCTGCGTGTTGCGGGCCAGGTTGGCGCCGAGGACGACCAGGATCAGAGGTACGGCCACGTTACGCTGGACTGCACGGCGTTGGTGACGCTGTTCTTGCCGACAGAGCCTTCCTCGAAGAAGAGCTGTTGCAGGGCCGGGACAGAA